CAACCCGGAGCATCAGTGTTCGGGAACAATATAACATATATAGAACAAACACCATCACAAAAGAAAAATACGGAGTTGAATCACACTTATATCAAGAATGCGTATATTTTTGACACCGATAACAAGTCATGGAATGCGTATATTTTTGACATTTGTCACGAAGTAATGTGGTGGCTTCATTGATTGATGATAATGTATAAGGAGTTTAGTTAATTTGACCTAATTTGATTAATTAATTAATCGATCGATTCATCAAAGCATACCATTATTACTCGAACTGAACGTCGTCTGGACTTCGAATGGGCCAAAGGAGTATGGCACACAACATTTATACGGCATACTGACATGTTCATTGATGTTCACTTGACACTTCTACATGTCACCAGAGTCAAATGGTGATTCAACCATAATTGTACATTAACTACAAGTAATATCTAAAGGGAAAGTTCCCGAAATGGGACTAAAAAAGTTCGAAAATTCCAAAATAGGACTGTCATGTTTTTATTCCCAAAATAGGACCAATTACTGCCAAATTTGGAAAATACTGCCATGTTTGAAGTCTGGTACTGCCGAAACATGACAGTAATTAGTCCTATTTTGGGAATAAAAACATGGAAGTCTTATTTTGGAATTTTCAAACTTTTTTAGTCCCATTTTGGGTAATATCTCATATCTAAAATATCAGACATCATTAGTCATTACTCACAAACATAAGACTAAACAAAGGTAACTGTAAATATGTGACTATTACTGACCAGGATAATGTTCTAATATACTCCCTCCGTACCGTCAGAAGGTTCTCACTTTTCTTTTTTGGACGTCCCGTTAGAAGGTTCTAATTTCCATTTTAGGAAACAATTAACAATCTTAAGTGACAAATTAGTCATTAAATATTACAAATAATACATTTATAACATCACAGTTATTAATATTAACACATTATAATATATACATATTAAAATTATTTCTCAAAATATACCCGAAATATTTTATTTAATTATCACCTAAATAACCGTGTCGTTTTGATATGAGAACCTTCTAGCGGCACGGAGGTACCATATCGTAGAACTATGATACGGAGCAATATATTCTTGTAATAATATAAGTTGTATTTTTATTCATCACTTTTGTTTAAGGAATATGTAATAAAAATTTAATTTAGACAACTACAGCAATATATTGCGACGAGAAAGTGAGATGTTAATAAAGTAAATAAGAATAATGAAATTCATTTTAATGTTCCTTTTTTTATGTATTTTAAAAATACAATTCTTATTAAAAAAAATCATACTCCCTCCAACCGGATATAAATTTTATTCTTTCTTTTTTCATATTTCTCAATAGAAACTCTTTTTTTTAGATAAAGAATTTGTGATCCACAACATTTATTCTCATTGTTTTGTCCTCCTCATAATGCACAACTTTAAGTCACATATTTTCCTTTATCTTAATTTGAGTGCAGATCAGAATAGAAGTTTTTATTGAGGAGGTAGTAAAAGTAATTAATCTCAACTCCTTATTGGCTTCGCTAAAAACGACAACCCACTTAACAACATGAACTATTCATTATATTTTTTTTAACTTTGACAAACTGAACAAGTTGCAATTTTTTTTTGACAAACTGAACTTTTGATATGCTAGTGTATACAACTTGAAATAGTTTTATACTCCCTCCGGATTTTAATAAACTTCACACTTTCCTTTTTGACACGGTCTAAAATAAACTTCACACTTCCTTATTTCCTTTTTTGGCAAAGAAATCTACATCAAAACAGTGCCAAACAGTGTCTCAACAGTGCCAAACAGTGTCTCTACAGTGCCAAACAGTGCCTCAACAGTGTACTATACAGTAAAGTCAAATTTCTTTTCTTATTTTGTGTGAAGATTAAATAAAAACGGAAGGAGTAATAAATACTACGTGCTATGTAATTCTTTATCTGTTCTAAATTAATTATTAGAGATACCAAATGAAAAGGCGGGGTAAGGTTCAAGTGAGAAGAACCCTTTGGGTGAGAAATGAGAATGAATCTCAGTCATTGGATTCGACTAAGTTGCAGTAAAAGACACTTCATGATGCACTGAAATATACAATCTAGCACGGTGGCATTTCTGTAAATACTTCTGAAAAATCCGTATTACACGTGTCTAGTGCAACATGAAGCTATTTCGGTGCAACGCCGTCAAATATTAGTGCAACATGAAACAGTTTTAGTGCAACATGAGCAAAATTTAAATATTACTGCAACATAAAGCCAACTTTAGTGCAACTTCGTAAATCCAATGGTTGAGATTTATTCTCAGTTCTCACATTAGATGCATTTCTCACCTGAACCAAAATCTGAAAAGGCGTGACTAAAGATAAAAAAATACTCATATGTGAACATTTGTTTGGAATTATTATAACTACTACAATGTGACATTTTAAATGGTTAAGAAAACAAAGTACAACATAAATATATGTGAGATTTGTAATTTTAATTCTATAACTCACTATTGGTTATTTATTAGTTGTGAAACTATGGGCCCGTTTGGTAACGGCTGCAATAGCTGAAACTGCTGAAAAGACTGAAAAGACTTAATCTGCTGAAGTTATAGAGCCCGTTTGGAGAACTCTGTTTTCGGCTTATTAGGCTTATCAGCCAGCTTTTTCACCAAACACGTAACTTTTACTTTCGCGCGCTGAATTGTGTAATAAGCCGAAAAAGTAAGGTTGGAGTTACTTTTCTGGCTGTATTGGCTGAAGTTACTGTAGAGGACCATTTTAGCTATTTTTACATATAATTTTTTCTTTAATTTATTAATAAAATATATTTTTAAAATATTTTTTTCTTAAATCAGCAGAATCAGCCAAAACAGCCACTCCAGCCAGAATATCATAAATTTCAGCAGAATCGGCCAAAACAGCCGATTTTGGTGCTACCAAACGGGCTCATAGTGTTTGGTAATATGCTGGCTGGAATGGTTGATTGAAGGTAAAATTACCATAAAGGATATAATTTCTTCATGTTTTCAATACATTAGATTACAATACACCCCTTACTACCTAAACCCTTATTAGGCCACAAAATACCCCACACCTTCATACAAGTTTTTAAAACATGGCAAGGTATTTAAAATATTTCAAAGTATTTAGAATTCAAAATTTTAAATTGGAAGAAAATAGAATCACTACTAAGTTATAAAAACCATAATAAACTCAAAATAAAGCAACCCTATAAGTTTAACGCCACATAAAAAAAAACAAGACGTGCAACAACTTATTAGACCAGGCTTCATGAGATAAGGTATTGGGAAATTATGAAAGTTCACAAAGAACTAAATCTACACTTCTGGAGCAGTAGAACGAGAGGTCTTCAAGAAGGATAAATACGTATTTCTATAGCTTAACAGTACAATAATAAAATTCAGCCAAAGAAGTAACCTTAAGGCTACTTTTTGAGATGATAATAAAATTCAGCAAAATCAACCCATTAAGAGGCTATTTGGTGATTTTTATGCATATTCAGGCTTATAAGCTTATTTCCAGTCCTCCGAACGGGCATTATATTTACTTGTAGATTTGGTCATGTAACTATAAAATGTGTTTATTTTGAGTGCCTTTTCATCGGAATCATACCGATGAGAATGTCCTAGAAAATTGGTTGAGTTGTTTGAAGTAGTTGAAATTGATGAAATCATATGGGTGAAACATCTAAATTGGTTGAATCTTATATAAAAATTACGTTCAAAATATTGCGTATATTATATTATTGAAATAAAGAAAAAATCGTATGAAAATTAGACCACTTGAGGTGGCGCTAGACAATCCTGATTTCTGGGTCCAGGTGCATAACCTACCTCTAGGCCTTATGACAGAGAAAGTTGCACGTGGAATTGAGAACACTATTGCAGTTCATGAGCTTACGCTGGGGGGTCTTGGAGATCCATCTTGCGGTTTCGGGTGCCGTGAATATCAAGAAAACAATAGTTCGCAGACTACAAATGACGCAAGAAGGGGATTGATTCTGGGCAGAGTACATGTATGAGTCTTTCAAAGTTCTGCTTCATTTGTAGGAATATTGGGACACATCGATCGTTTTTGTCCATCGAATACTCACTCGGGATCCTCGATCAAAGAGAAACCATACAAGCCTTGGATGTGTGCAGATATGGGAAGAGGAGGAGTGCATCTGGGTAATAAGTGGTTGATCCCTAACGGAAGCGGAACCAACTCACGGGGGGAAGAGATTGAGAATGTCTGAAAAAAAAACAGTGCGAGTTTGATGAGACGGACAATTATATAGTGGAAGAATTGCTCTCTAGGGGTAAAGACATAGCTGATTCCCATGAGGAAGAGCCGTGGAAGCGCAGAGTGATAGAGCCAAATATCAGAGAGGATACACTTGCCATCATGGAGGTATATATGAGGAAGATCCAAAAATGGACATGTGAAGAGGTGGCAGTTGACTCTCTTCCTTTAATGGTGGCCGGTCAAATCACATCTCCTCTCCCTTTTCGATAACTGGTAAAATTGGAGTTTTCTTTTGTTCTTCTACCTTTTATTGTCACGACAATATTACTTTTTCCATTTTCATTTGAGTAATAGGGGTGCATCAGGGATGCTAGAATAATCTACATTGATGAGGGGTTAGTGAATTGGAACGTTTTTGAGCTACTTTTGAGTTCTGTGTCTCACCTTAGAATAACCTATGACTTGTTTGTCTTGATTCTTGTTACCTCTACTATATGATTAATTAGGTTATCTTTTTTATAAAAAAAAATATTTTAATTACTCAAAAATACTCCCTCTGTCCCAAAATTAATTTCTCACTTTTCTTTTCGGGCAGTCCCGAAATTAACTCCACACTTCAAAACTTTCCTTATTTGGCAAATAATCTACATCAAAAAAGTGTCAAACAGTGTCAAACAATGTCCAAATAGTGTAAAACAGTGCAAAATAGTGCACTCCATATTTATTTTGTTAATGTGTCCGAAGTGAATTTAATTACGGAGGGAGTAGAAGTTATGGAAGGACTTCTGGGTTTATGGATGAAACGGGCGGGATAGCGTTGGATTGATCAACGATTGACTTTGTGCCTCCTGTCCCTGTAAAAAAAATTGTCAGTGTGTACACAACACAGGAAAGAACATCCCGCTTCTTCCTAATTCTCTGTCAGAAAATGTCTACTCCTCTATACATCTCACTATCACCGGTTGGGACCGCCGGAGATTTAAAACTTCCCGGTGACCAGGCCGAGGGATATAGTAATACGGAGTATTTCTCTTCTTTATTTATTTGAAATATACAGTTTTCAACAATTAATGCATTTCACCTTCTTCATTTAGTGCACCCTGGGCTGGTGAATCCTCACCTGATCTCTCTTTGTCTGTCTCTCTCCATACTCATATAAATGTGTCCTTACGGGATAGATAACTGAATATTTATTGCTGGGTATGTACTATATGGTGAAACTGTTCATGGAGATGGAGAAAGCTGATTCCTTTTTCATCGCTTAGGGATACCCACCACATACCTTTCTTGTCACTATTTCTTCTTCAATCTACAGAACATATTTCTTCTCTATATTCAATCTCTCCACTTGAAGATCAAAGGTACTCTCCAGCTTCCATTCTCTGTGTATGGTCTGAAGGGGTGGGGGTGGGGGCCTTCTGTTTCCTCTGGTATGCCATTGTTGGGAAGTGAAGCATGTTTTCTTGCAAAATACATGAAAGAACTGTGCTTTATTTCTTTTTTATAAGTAATTGTGTTAACTATCACGTTTCTGGTAAAGAAGATGAATGCTTCATGGGGGGGAAAGCCCATTTCCAGATTATATCATTACAATTTATTGCAACTTTTATTTTCTTTGGTGGGGTTTGTAGTTCAAATTTGCCCCATACTTGAAATGCCACGTATGCTCCTTGGTACCAATAGCGTACACATGTTTGACACCAGAATAAATTTGTATAGCGTTTTTGCTTAGATTTGGTTGATTTTCTTGGGTTCTTGTTAACTGTTATCCCTAAGAAAAGTGGAGTGAGGATTAGACATGGTCATGGACAAAACCTTAAAGCAGCCATTTTTTGCCTAAAGAAATGGAAAAGGGGAACCTGTGGTGTGCCATTTCCTTAATATACTTTTGCTTAAACAGGTCAAAAGCAACAATTTCTTTGAAAGTGGAGGGTGGGAGAAAAATAATTCAATGTAAAAGTGAAAGTCCATGTCAAGGATGTTTTAATTGGACTGAAATATTCTAGTATGATTTGTTTAAACCTAGTCTGATTTGGTAAACGTCTGGTGTATATGTATTTTACTATCGTCTAAGTCTAGGTGTTGCTTTGGTCTGATCTGGTATGTCAGAGACTCAGAACTGAAAATAGCTCAATTAAAAACATCCTTAAAACTTAAAAGGTCATCTCTTAGTTTGATATTTAGCTTCCATTGGAGGTTTGCTTGGACTCAGTTTTGGTTTGCCTTTTAATTACTGCTTTTGCATCATTTTTATGGATGTCTATTAACTGTAAAAGCAGCATTATTTTTATTGTCTCATAATCATGATCCCTAAATGGTGGGAACTTTGCGCTAAATTTATCTAATCAGTAGACACATTTTCACTAGTCATTATGTTGAAAGTATGAACCTCCAAGATGAATTACTTCCCAAATCTCATCTCTTAGTATTTTTGTTTTCCTTTAAATCCCTGTGATTCCTATTATCTTTATATTTGTTTTAAAAGATGATTTTTGAAGTGGCTTAAATTCAATAGGAATGCCTTTGACAGAGCGGAAGAGGAGACAAGCATGAAAGAAAATCAATGTGAAATTTTATGCATAAATGGTGACAAGGAGACAGATCTATTTAGGGGCATGTTTGGATCAAATGTTATCACTAATAAAGATAAAGACGGATTCCAAAAGGTTCAACAACTTGATCGTGAAGCGCTACTTCTTGATTGCTCTTTCAAGAGTATCGAAAATAAGTTTCATGTTTTTCCCACAAAGGATGATAAAAAGAGTCAGTTTCATTGCATTGCGCCTAAGACAGATGAAGATGCACTTGATAAAAATGTGTCTCCTTCAGATGCTACTGACAAAAGTGTTATTGAACAGAAGCTGCCTGAATCAATTGTTTGTTGCAAAGATGAAAAGAGTAACCCCATCAGAGATATTTGTGTTGATGAGGGGGCACACACTGTGGATATAGTTGATGACGTGTCAGGAAAAGAGCCTTTTGGTGATAAGCTTCTCCTATTGGAACCATCATCAACACAGAATTCACAAAGCTCTCTTGTCAGCTTAAACTGTAATGGCAGTACATGTGGAGTGTTGCTTGATAAGGTTTGTTTGTTCTCCGATTTTCTGCTTTATCCAAGTTAAGTCTGTCAAAACGTTTTATGTGCTCTGCAAGCAAATTGTGTTGCTCCACGAGTTTCATATAAAAAATGATATCACTGGAGCTGGCATTTCATTTTCCATTTACATTAGGTGTTTGTCTCAGCGTTTTGACTCCCAAAATGTTATTTCAAGTAAATAGAAGCTCTTTATCTGAGTGTTTGCGTTTATGTTATTTATCTGAAGAACTTCCTAAAAACTAACTAACCAATTTACAAAAATAAATCATGTTATTTTGCACTAAAGAAAAAAATTCCTGGAAACATAAAAATGATTTTTTAAAGTTTTTTTGCCTGTATGGTCATTTGGTCACTGTGAAAACACCCCCATTATGGTCACTGCCGTGTAAGATTAAATATTGATCTATTATGCTCACTACAATTGTTGAGGAAATACCATTATGCTCACTGTGTATTAAAATTTAAAAGTCATATTTTGTCTATTACTACCTCTGTCCCAATTTGATGGTAGCAATTCTTATTCACATGGTCAACACAAATCACTCTTAATCTCTTACTTTATATATCAAGTTTTTATCAAATTTGATTCAGGTGTTTGCGACTTTGTAAAGCTTTTAATGTAGTTTCCGAATATGTAATTTTTTCTTCTAAAAATAATTTAATTGCGGACAGGGATCCGTTTGCTTTATCATCAGTCAAACATCGTAAACCGCAATGGTATCATCAAATTGGGACGGAGGGAGTACATTTTTATGTTAGACACATAGTTGTCATGCTTTATCCAAAAAAAAAAGACATATAGCTGTCATTATATCCTTCTATAACAGTCAGCCAAACACTATCAAAGTGAAAACGTTGTTTAGCAAAAACTTCCGTTTAAACCAAAAAAGCACATGTTAAAATTGTTTATCCAAACTCTCCAAAGTAATAAAGTATATAGCCTCGTTTCATTCCAGAAAATAACTAATAGCTCCAAAAGCATGTGTGTATAATCTGACGTAGTATGGATTATCTTAATCTACAGAAGCCTCCGGAAGACAGAATCTTGCTGGACCATAATGCAACATCAAAAACTGATGAATCTAACGAGAAAGATGTGCCCGAATTCCCCGAAACATGCTTAGTCTACAGCAACATGGTGGAAAGCAAGTCTACAATTGACAAGAACACTACTAGTGTTGCTGACAGAAATGGAAATGAAAATGGTTGTAGACAACCCCAAGAGTTGCAAGATGATGTTGTTCCTAACAGTGAGGTTAAAGCCAAAGTAAACCATTCAATTAGTGGCCAACAGGATAAATTTGCTGATGGAGGAGAGGCTAGTTTTTCTGGACTGAGTTCTTTGATCACTTCTTCTTACGCGGGCTTGATACCATACTCTGGCAGCATTTCTCTCCGGTCGGATAGCAGTACAACGAGCGCCAGATCCTTTGCCTTCCCAGTGTACGTTTTTGCAAAACTTTTTTCCCAAAATCACTCCTTTTTGTTTCTAGTTTGGTCATTTCTAATAAATCTTCATTCTTTGAATGAAATGTTTTTTGTTGTGGGGGGTGCAGAATTCAATCAGAGTGGAATAGCAGCCCTGAGAAAATGAAAAGATCATATAAGAGATCCTGGAAGCACATGAGTTGCTGGCGGTGTCTTCTTTGCTGTAGATTCTGAATGAAGTCCATTTCATTTGTTTATATAGGCCTTGTCAAGTTAAATTGTACTCCGTATTGCTTTACCTTATGATGATGGTTACTTTTTTAGAGATGTGTTGCCTCTCCTGCAGTGGCGGAGCCAGAAATCTATGGTTGAAGGGGCCGGTCTTTAAAAATTTTACATTGCAGGGGCGAAAGTTTAAAATATCAACATATTTTCTATAGATTAAAAGTATTTATACATAATATATACTTAAGAATTTTTTTCTTGCAGGGGCCGTGGCCCCCTCCAGCCCCTCCCTGTCTCCACCCCTGCTCTCCTGTAGTTGTATGTATGCTTAGTGTACTGTTGGTGTTAGGGTATGAATATAAGGTTTGAGAGGATGTTTGTTATTTATTTTCTTTTTTAGTTTTTCTAGAATTAGCTCAGAATCTTTTTCTGTTGAGAGAGTGATTATTATTTTATATTTCCTCATTGTTTCGCATGAAGCTTTGGAGATTTATGTCAAATTTTTTTTGCGCTAATTCTTTTTTTCATTTGTGTTTTTTTCCACATATATAGATATATGTGGATAAGCAGTTGGAAGCTAAGTTTTGGTTTTCTGATGTTTAAATTTGCAAGTTGCAACCTACTTCATGTTTGCGTAGGGAAAGGATAACTTTCTAGCAACATGTTGACAGAAAAAATGAAAAACATCTGCAATTTTTATGAGAAAACCTGCCTGGCTGCCATGAGTCCATAACAAGGTTGTTCTAGTGTCTTTCAATTATTGCTCGAAAGGTGTACATATTAAAACGCTCATAAAAACTTTTCACAAAAATTACTTTACATAATTACACACCAGTGTGACTCTTCTCTGGGCCATCGCCTTGCATGATGCCTTCATGCACCAGCTTTTTTGGCTCCTGTTTACTTTCTACAAATAATTCCGTAATCCCCACACACGAATTCTTGAACTTCACAAAGGAAACAATTAGAAGAAATTGATTTCTTGTTATCATGGACATGTGGTTTTCCTTGACTTTGCTTTTTCAGAACTTTTAATGATACTGAAATTGGCCTAATCGGCAAAATAGGTGAAAATGTGATTGAATATGCTAAGTTATTAAAAATGTATACATAAATATATTGAATAAATAAAATCATGAAGAATTTATAAGGTGTATGATAAATAGCTAAAATAGTCCACTTCAACAATTTAGCCAATTCAATCAGAAAAATAATTCCAACTTTATTTATTTTGACTATTACAAAATCCAATTTGTTAAATCAAAAGTTACGTGTTGAATAAAAATATTAGCTGATAAGACCAATAAGCCGAAAAAATGTCTTATCAAATGGACTTTTGAAGTTCTATTTCAGGCATCTCTGTAATACTACCTCCGTTCCACTAACATTGGAATATGAGAAAGTGACACGGTTATTAAGAAAAATATGTTTATGTGGTTCATATTGAATTGATAAAATAAGACTGTAAGAATGATCTAGAATTACACAAATTCTATCAAATTTGGTATGAAACAATCTTAGTGCAGCGGACCGGAAAGGAAAGATGGGACAGTCTTTTCAAGAATTTGAGCTGAAAAGAATTCATTTGAATGCCTTCCCGATTGAAGTTTTAGCTGAAATTTGGTATGAGTAAACTAGACTTAATAAATAAGATGCTAAAAAGAATTCATCAAAAAATTCCACCGGAAACCACCCCAAATGACGACGACCGGACAGAGCCTCCTAAATAAGGGCTTATTTGACCTTTTTGGTTAGTACATGGGCCTTTTTGCACCTTTTCCCTTAATATTATTTGTACAAAGCACTTGTACACGACATTTTACATGCCAATCAAATTGTTTATGTACAGACAATTTGACCGGCATTTTGTACTTTTGTTAACACAGACAAATTTTTTATGACTGTACACGGACAATTTGACCAACATGTAGAATGCGGTGTACATGAAGCATTACTGAATATGTAAACCCTGCGATTTAAAAATTGAGGAATACCTACTTTTGTCTCTAACTTTTTTTCTTAAGGACTCTACTGGGTAAAATTTAAACTTTTAAAGGTTTTAAATTTGAAACACAAAATAGTTTAGTTTGAAATCTAAAGGGAGTATATATTCTTATGATGTAATGTATTTACACAAACACAGAATTGGAAATTCATATTCATCATGTGTGCTTTGAGCAATTGAGCATACACTTGTGTTCAGGGATCAACATAAGTTTTACAGTTTTTGTTTATGGTATGTAAGTATGTTTTTCAGATTAAATTAAAGTATTCCCAATATAGCACACTCTAAAAGCCACTCTAATGGTGACTTAAAATCCATCCTTTGTCATTGGTAATAAACACAAAAATAAGTATGTGTGGAGTGTGGACAATCTTTTTACTTTTTGCACATTATGCATTAATGTATGCAAGAACACAGTATCATGAACAGTTTTACGATTATGCAATTTAATACTTGCAAAAGATAACTTCATAAACAATTTCACTTGTACTTGATGTCTTGATCATTGCACTTCTACTAAACACTAAAAGTATTTTACACCTCGAGTGAGCAATACAAGCTGAGCTCAGAATATAAATATACATAATTCTAGTATAATGCATCCAACACTACCACACTATTGGGTCCAAATTAGACATTTGAGCGTGAATGTAGCGAATTCAAAGTTAAAAGTACTACTACCTCCGTCTCATTTTATGTATCCTACTTTGCTTTGACACAGTTTTTAGTAAGATGGTTGGAAAAGTAAAAGTTGTTGAGATTTGAGTATAATAAAGTAAAATGTTGTACACCACATATTTCTTTCAAAAAAGGAAACCTGACACTTATTTGGGAACAATTCAAAAAAGAAAAGTAGGACAGGAATAATGGGGCGGAGGGAGTAGTAGGTTTTAGACATTGGACTCGGAGTTGAAATACGCAGAGTACAATTATGAAGCAGTTAAACTCTTATAAAACCAAAAGCTCAACTAACCATTCAACAAACACATGCATAATGCATTCCACCTCGATAATTAGTTAGTGTCCAAAATAGTTACGTATATGCTAATTGACACTAATCTACATATTACACTTGAACTTATGTACCCAGTTCATAATACACCCACAAAACACCAAAATAGTAAATGTTTTTCCTACTTTGCTGCAAAAATGCCAAACTCAGTACACGAGATTCATATCTCCAATTATATATGTAAAAATCTTGCAAAAATTACTAAATTAAACCAAACAAACATGAATTAATGACATGCACTATTTCAAATAACATTCACTTCAAACATTGAGGTTACCTCACTTCGGAAAATGAAATATGCATTTTCCCTGATGATACGAATTTCTTGCACCATTTATATTTACAAATGGATCTAAGAAACTACCTTTGGGATTGGGATAATCACTACACATAGAAGTCTTCTCTCCTTTTTCTGTATCAATTTGCATGATAACTGTCTGTTATTTTAAATATCTTTGGTTGTCAGCGAATTGCATTGCGTCCTCCCAAGTCCTAGCACATGGAATTGCACATCAGTCCTCCTAAGTTCTTTGGTTGAACTAAATTCGGGGGGTTTGTTGCTGGATCAACATAAGCAACCTGCCATGACTGCCAACGCAGCAGTTTAAACCATGGTTTTGGCCCGTCTTTGTCATGTGTAAATTCCAAAACACATGGTGGTATTACGAATAGTACACTCTATTCTATGGAAATTGGGGAGAAAAAATGAAGAGATGGTAATTGGTTACTTGAGAGCATTAGGTTTTGGATTCAATGAACATGATCACAATGAGCTCCCTCGCCAACCGAAACTTAAAATAATGGAGTGAACAAATAAGTGAAGGCATTACATCAATGGACATGAGCAACAACTACCATATGCACAATCTTGAAATAAATCAGGGGGATATTGATTGTGCTACCTAAATCCTCAGCCTTTTCTGAGCTTGATCCATATCTCCATCGGTGTCCGGTTCACGAAAATAACCCACTACTTGACTCGAAGATGGTGCAGCAGGTTTCTTATGGTCAATATCCTGTAATATAAGTTCTATAGACAATTTAGGAGAAGAAAGTGCATGTCTCATCAAGTATATATTGCATGTTTTACTTCCCTCCCCAACAAGAACAACAATATCCAAGCCAGGCAAGCCTTAGTCACAAAAGAGTTTGGGGTCACCTTACTTCCACTTCCAGCGCCTTATTTTTATCAAGGAATTTCATATAGTGATACTTAGAATAAAAGACATACTATATATAGTATACATACCCTGGCACCCATTACTGCTGTACTTAATCCCCTATTTGCCCGTTTTCCAAGATCTATCTGTACAGAGATGGTGGCATGTGATAGGTCTACACCAGTGCTTTGCAACGCTTGTCCTAAAGAATTTAGTAGTCTGAAAAAAAATGACATATCTCAGTAACAAGTACTAAAAGGGGCAATAAATCAGGGGACTTGAATATTAAATTAAAGTGTGACTATAACTGTTTGAATATTATACTCCGTATACATTAATTACTTACCCTTGGGAGTAAACACCTGAAAAGTTTATTGTTCCACCCTCTATAGCTGGCGGCTCCGCCTGTTGACCAAGAGCATCTTCCATTCTGTTGGGGAGGCATTCAGTTGATTGGGCATCAGAAGCTGGCAAACTTGCCAGCAGATGCTTAGTAGCAAGCTCATTATGTTGTACCCCATTGAAGGTGGCAGAAGATGATTCAACTCGATTCTGCTGAATCGTTGGTTGCAAAGCTGTTGAAGGGGCTGTGATAGCATTCTCATCAAACCTCCCAGCATATGCCGGACCATTCTTTACAGCTTGTGGGGGGGATTCTGAAAAACTCTGCAATCGCCAATGACTGTTTCTCTGAGCCCATATATAAAATTAAATTAACAGAATGCTTCTTGATAAGAAAACGAAATAATCATTAATAGAAAAAATATGGATGATAGAACACGGAATGTACAATGACGATCAGACATCCTTCAAAATACTTTGAGCAACAGTTTCCGATGCATCTAGAATATTTAGGGAAGTGTTCAACGAAAGTTGTGGACATATTTTTAATGGTTTCATGGACAGGTGTACTAAGCTACATTTGGCAAAAAAAGCCAATAAGTAAATTAAAAGTGATGGCTTGTAGCTGAAAAAAATGTAACTGGTCTGGAAATTGGTGTTTGGCGAAAGTAGTTGATAAACTAGCTTCGAATTACAAAATGACAGAAAAGGGCATGTATAAAACAGTTGTTTTAAATAAAAGTTCGAGAATGGGATTTTATAAGAGAAAAAATCATTCAGCACTATATGAATGATAGTATGATACTAAAACAACACTTGAAATAAATCATGCTTCTAAAAGAACGTTCCATCAAAGAGAGATTATTTGAAAAGCTTAATCCAAAAAAGAGCTAAGAAGTAAAAACCGGTGTTGTCAATCCCGGATAGAGGCCAACCCCGAAAACGCTATAGCGGTAACGCGGTATAGCGGATAGCAGGATGATCACTATTTAGACAATATGTATGCAAAATAAATATAATATGTATGCATATAATTACATGCCATGCACATATTAAATGCAAGAAATGATAAATCATAAATGTATTACTCAAAATCTCAAACGTCATCAAATTTATATTTACTAAATTGCCAATGAAAAGGCATTAGTGTCTTAAACAAAAGAAACAAGTAATTTAAGTAACATACCTCTAAACATTAAAAATTAATAATTAAGCTCCTGATAATTCTTGATAAATTAAAAGTCATCAATATCTCATTATAAGAAAATCATGGTTGTTCGGATGCCTTGAACTACCTTAACATTGAAATGTACGGTGTAGGTTATGTTTGATCTTGGTTTCTTTTTTGAGTTATTTTAGAAGGGTTTAGTAGGGTTGTTTTTATTTTTTACCCAAAAAATATCTAAAAGAAAAAATTACTCCAAAATGCCCTCAAAACTAGTACTGAAGTAGCCCCTTAAATTGTAGCGGCGCTATAGCGCTCGCTACAGCCGCTATTCTTCCCACTATAGCACCCGCTACTGGCACTATTGTCGACCGCTCCGCTATAGGGAGTCTGATAGCACAATTAATGAACATCAAACATTTTGCAGCACATAGACACAGGCAACAAAAACACGAGAGAGCAATGACAGCCACCTAATGAGGTCAAGCTGTAATATAAAAAACTTAAAAACGAATAGGATGCTGACCCAAGGCATTAGTTTTGTTGGCTCAGAACTCCACGCTTGATATGATCCTTCATACTTTTGTACCTTCTCCTGTAAATACTGTACATACTGAATCACCTGCGTAAAGAGATGAATATCAGCACAATCTCAATGCAAGGTTGGATAAAAAATGTATTGGGTATTGATTTTATTTTATGATTTAATCAACTCTGGTAGTACACCTCAAACAGAAATGATGCAGTATCTCGCTTTTGATCTGTATTAGGTATCAGGTCTCTTAATATCTGAAATCTGGATTGAACAAAAAAAAATCAGCATTTCCAGGAGCTTGAAGAAAATTATGTTTCAATCTTCATATAATTATTCTAATAAATTCTGCACATAAAATGGTATTGAATGCATCGGCTAAATGACAGAAGCAAAATAAATTTTGTCCCATTTCCTTTCCTATTTTCGTTTTTGTTGTTCCTTTCCTATTTTTCTTCTGACTGATGAGAGATGCGCTTGAACAATAACAAGATCTCACACAAAGGCATAGCCAAGTCTAAAATCAATATCAAATCAAATATCAAATAATAATAATAATATTAATAATAATAATAATATAAAATAAGTAACAATGTAACAACAGCTTTCTTAGTTGTTATGACATACAAGCACCCCTGGAAACAATGGAACTCATTTCCTTGATCAAACTCATTAGAGTATAAGAAACTTATCAATATATGTTGCACTCAAAGACAGTCTGAGTGTCTAACCATGTCCAGTTCCAAATTGAAACAATACTATCAGAATCGTTATCATAATAACAATCTAGGTTAAATGCTAATAGTGGAAACCTGACTTTATGCAATTGCAAGTTAGCACAAACCAAATGTTCGCATGGTTAGCAAACAGTGTCTGTCTACCTCTCACCATAGCTAACCACTCCCATTATGCCCTTAAGCATGTCCACAACACAGTTGTGAGTTGGGACTATTCAGTTTTACATGGCATAATTTGAGAATACATGTAAGCTATTGCCTCTGTCTCCAATAAGTTAATTTCATGGATGGTACTACGTAATATCTAGAGCCTCCATGCTCAGTCCTAATAGGAAGACAAATATCCCCAAAACCAAGTTACTTTGATATAACATTCAAATTCATAGATTTAAATATGCTTTCCAATCACTCATTCATATCAATAACAATATTCAGTACCTCTCGTTGATCTTACTCCTCCTACGCTGCTCCGTTACAGAATGTTTAGACCTTATTACATTGGCCTTGTCATTATTCTTTCCATCTATTCCACAAAGAGAAACACCTTGCGATCTCAATACAATGAAGACGAATTCACGATTTCATACTTTTAGTAAGAATAAATACAAATGCTTTAAATCAGAACAATTTCCAATAATCACAACGTACCTCCGGGAGTACTACTATGGGAATTCGTGGCATTTTTCTTCGAGCCTAATTCATCCTCCTCTTCCTCTCCATGATGATCCTTCACAGTTTTCATGGTCTGTTCCCAATAATTTGATATGGCCTGCATAAGATAAATGAATCAAAGAGGCATACAAGATTAATAACTAAAAAAAATGAACATTATATAGCAATTGAGATCTATTGAACAAATTAAAGTCCCGTAGGATTGGAAGACCAAGCAAAAAAGTTGCGGATTCCCGGAAAGAATTGAGCTTTTTCAGAACTGATCTTACCGGTTCCCGCTTTCGAGGTTCGGAGCGTCTGAGGTTTGGAGTCACCGGTGAGTATGAGGAGGCCACAGTAAGGATAGCTGCTTCCCCCGGTAATTTCTGTTTGGTAGGGAAAAACAGAAAAGGTATGTTGCTTTAAATGTTGTACCTTGCGCATTATTGCTACTAATGAAGTCAACTTTAAAAAAAATTGCATTGAGGAATGTTGGGTCGTATGGATCTAGACATTTGAACTTAATTAAAATTAAAATAATGAGGTAATTCGTTTTTACAAATCTTTATTTTTGCACCCCAACCCTGTATGAAAACACAAAAATACCCCTCAATCATGAATATGTTGAAAAACAACTGAATTGTTAATGGAGAGGCATTTTTGTCTTTTCATTCGGGGTTGGGGTGCAAAAACAAAGATTTTTAAAAAAGGGGTGCAAAGTCCAATTTGAACAATAATATGGTGTGCAAACTCAAATTACCCCTAAAATAATTGACCTATTTAATTTATGGGCCAAGAAATCAAACTTAAATAGGTCAGACGTAAATAAATATATCATACTAAATACTAGACAAGATAAGACTTGACGAGTAAAATACACATATACTCGAAATTTATCAAATCAGACTAGACTACACTTAAACAGACCGATTCAAATCAGACCGAGCTTCAACAGACCACAACAGTTTAGTTAATTCAAGTCCAATTAAAAACATCATATTTCTTAATAATTTGAACCGTTTTCAATCATCTCATTTACATAAATTTCATGAGGTAGTTGATTTTTTTTTTGAAAGAATGAGGCAGTTAGTTAATAACAATAAAGTTCACAAAAATATTTTCCCCTTCCAATTATACTTGCATATTAGATTTTGCGCAAAGTTTTAGAAATGTGAGATACCTCATATGGAAAGATTGATAAAGTATAAAAAGTATGAAAGAAGAAAAAATAATGATGAGAATTAATGTAAAATAAAAATGAATACTCTGAGAAAATGATAAAATAACAAATAAAACTAAACATTTGTGAATTTAGAGAATCATGGAGAGAAAAGGATCAAATAAAGCCTTCTACTATTATGAAATCATCACATAAAGCCATGTACTCAATAAAGTGTCATATAAGTACATCTACTTATAAAAAGCAATCGGATGAGTCATAATGACCCGTTGACAACCTCTAAATCACGACTTTAGCTCACATGCCGTTATTTTTATCTTGTATTTAAGTCAACCATAACTAAATATTCCATGTCAATCATATAATCTATAATTCTATATTAAAGAGATAGTCAGACGTACACTAGAACCGGGATTACGAGGTTGTCAAAAGGCCATTTTGACTCATTTGATTGCTTTTTATAAGTAGGCGTATTTATATGACACTTTATTGAGTATGTAGCCTTATGTGATGATTTCATAATGGTAGAAGGCCTTATTTGACTCTTTTCCCTCATAGAGATGGTATTAGACGAATGGATTTGGCCTTCGGGAAAGTCTGTTACGACATTCGAATTATATGGAAGATGTTGAAATAAGAGGCATTAAAATATCTCATTGCACTTGTTTGGATAGATTATTTGTCAGTGATGCATCCATTAACCTCCAAGGTGATAACAGTACTATTTTGGAATTCCAAAATTTTTACTCTTATTTAGGATAGTTTCCCTAGTAGTATTCTGGAATTCCAAAATGCATCGAATATCCTCTAATGTGATAGGAGTTTGAGCAGCACCACAGTCAGGAGACATTTCGAGTCCCGTCCCTCCCTAAATTTAATAAAAATGTTACTATGTACGTGGTACAAAATATGTGTAAAAATATGTGTGAAGATTGTATTACAGATTAGGTCTTGATGCCCCATTTCAATATTTTTTGCTAGGCTGTAACACATAGGGATTGGCCGATTGGGATAATGATATGCAAGTTGCCTCTATTGATACTAATAAGCATCCTTTGAGATCCTGGTTTTTATATTAGAGATCAGCAAGAACCTTTGAGTGCAAATGGCTTGAGAGTTGTCAATAATGCTAAGGCATTGCCTCAAAAGTCAAGGAGTTTCTCCAAACAAAATACTCATGCTATAATTTACCAAAATTTTATTTTCAAGATAAGAAAAAAAGCATACAGACAATAAAAAACATTGTTCAAGACAAGTTAGTGTGATTGAAGTTGGGCTAGTTGCTGGACAAGCCCTTCCAAACATTTTATAGAGCTTCCATCAATCTTAAGTGCTTCAAGTGCCTCACCCTTCAATTCTTGGGCTCTCGCCTTCTCCGAAATAGCGCAATTCATTGACTCGCTAATTTTTATTGCCAATGAGGCCGTATCAGGTACCGTGTCAGCTCCCTCTAACACGCGGACCGAAACCCCCAAGTCATCAACCAATAACTTGGCATTAACATATTGGTCAGCCTCCATTGGCCACCCCAATATCAGCACCCCTGCTACTATTGCTTCCAACACCGAGTTCCAACCGCAATGACTCAAAAACGCACCCACGGCTGGATGGTTTAGTATGTCCACTTGAGAGGCCCAACCCCGAATTATTAGGCCTCTTCCCTTGACCCGATCCTCGAACACTTCTGAGACTGATCCATAACCCAAATCCATTTGTTCAACCGTGGGCTCTTTCACAACCAGCACGAACCGAACCCCGCTCTTTTCAAGCCCATCAGTCAGGGCCTCTAATTGCGCCTTCCTCATCAACTTCTGACTCCCAAAGGCCACATACAACACTGACCCCTCAGGGCACCCATCAAGCCATGCAAACAAACTCTCTTGGCCATTGATCTGGCCCACGCCACGAGGACCACCAATCGAACTCAAAAGCCCAACATGAAAAACTCTCCCATGGCCCATCTTATTCTTCAAGAATTCCAAATACACCCCATCCAATGCCTCAAAGGTAGTGACAATAGCCCCCCAACTTGTGAAATTCCCAATCATGCCCCTCCTAATGCTCTCCCAATCAGGGTCAGATTCCTTGTAGTTCTTTATCATGGAAGGAAGATGCTCCCTTGGGAAACTGGGAGAGTTTGGGAGCTCTGGAAAGTCAACCACCTCCGAAGACCTCAAAGTCTCCACCTTTTTCCAACCGCATTCAAAGACGCAAGCCAAGAACGCGCTGTGGCAGAAAAAGCATATTCCGGGCACGCCGATTTCTCCGGCCATGTCCTCCACCCAACCCAAGAAAACATCATGAATGATTGCCGCCGGAGGATTTGGATGAGATCCGAACCACTCAACCATCGGTCGGCGGAGCTTGGAAAGGGAGCTCATGATCGGGCCATTTCCCCAGTTGCCGACGTCCTTGACATTCTCAACGCCGGCGGGGAGGAGAGGGTGGCCGGCCGGAAAAGGGAAGACCAGGGTTTGTATGGATGGGTGGGTGGAGAGGAGTGGATCGAGAATTGGGAGGTTTTTGGGTGTGACGAGGATGGTGATGGTCAGGCCGCGGAGGGCTAGTTGGTGGGTCAAGTCAAGAAGAGGGAGAAGGTGTCCTTGGGCTGGGTAGGGGAAGACCAGTACATGGACTCCTCTTCCACTTCTGGAGCTTGACATTACTGCTGTGGAGAACGATGGAGTGGGAGTGGAAACCAGTAATTTATTTGGTGCCGTAGCAAATGAGCAATTATGTAGCCTAAATAAAGGAGTGTTTGTGCTTAAAAAAAAGTTAAAAATGGTGTTTTCAAATGACAGCTTCTGCTTAAATTAATCACTTTAAAGTTAAAAGCTGGAAGCGGGTGGAAGGATGCTTTAAACTACTTTTCACTTTTTCTATTACACAAAATGTACTTATTTTACCAAACACTACCAACTTTTACTTTTTCAGAATCACTTTTTTCTCATACACTACCAACTTTTACTATTAATCACTTTTCCCAAAATCACTTTTAAAAATCACTTTTTTAAAGTTGAAGCAATTGCAAACATGAGTCTTCTGACAGCCCAATACGGAGTACTTTAGTCGTCTTGAAGACTTTGAAAGCTAAGATAGCCAAGAAATTTTAACGAGCCCGTAGCGTGCCTGTTAAAATACACGTTAGCCCACGTGCCATTCAATTAAATGATTTTTAAGGAAAACAAAAGTGTGCGAGTAGAAAATTTTCGTTTCCCTCTTCCACTGGTTCACGCTAGACAACCGCCCACCTTCCCTTTCAATTATCGTCTGGCGGCTTCTCGATCCCTCTCTGGCGGATCTTCCGCCCATCTTCCCTTCCGCCCAATTTCCCTTGCGTCTCGAGAAGCTGCCAGGAGGTAGAAGACGAGCGCGGAGGTGGTTGAATTGATCACTACAGCCGAATATGCGGTGGCTGAAAGGGAAGGTCCGCAATTTCCAGCGTGAATCAGAGGAAGACGAAAACAAAATGCTATAGGCGTACACCGATTTTCTTTAGAATTAATTTAATTTAAATATTGAATGCCACGTGGGCTAGCGTGCATTTTAAGAAGCACGCTACAGGATCGTTAAAATTTAACCCGATTATAAATTAGGGTTAAGGATGTTTTTATTTGGTGCGAAATTTGATGGTCTCAGTTTGTTCTGTTTAAGTTTGATCTGATCTGGTTTTTGTGTATGTTATAATTATGGAAGTCTGATCTCATCTGGACTGGTCTGATTAAGTCTGATTTGTTTAAGTTTGATCTGAGACTGAAAATAGTCCAAGTAAAAACATCCTAAACAGGAGCAAAACACAAAAAAAATAGCATTCTTTGAAGCTTGGACAATAGTTGGAATTCGCCAAACTTTTTCAGAGTTGGTCTATTGTCATTGCTTCGTCTGGCATCGTCGTTTGTTTGGTCGTCGCCCGCATCGGAACCTGCTGCCCCAAAAAAAATCCCAAATTGCATCTGCCAATTTTCTGACACGCCTGGTGACGCTGCCACCACCAACGGACTGAACCATCACCAACGGACTGACGGTTACCCAAAAGAACAAAGGGAGCAATTGTTTAATTAAATTAGAAGTACTAGGGTTAGAAAATTAATATTTGATTCTAGGTCTGAGATTGGTCCGGTTCTTGTTAAAATTCTATGGAACCGTATTAAAAATCGTAGGCTTTAAATTCGGTTCAATTCTAGTTAAAAATGTAGTTGCTAAATTCAGTTCGGTTCTAGTTAAATTCAGTTTGATTCTTACCTTTTTCAGTTCCTTATATAAAATTTATTGTCCTCCTAAAATGAACACATTTTACCTCCAGTTACAAAAAAAATCAATTTTCTTCATCAAGTCTAGTTTATCCACACAAAAATTCAGCTAAAAACTCATTCGGAAAGGTTTCAAATGTTTTTTAGAAGATAACTGCGCCCAATATATACATATAAAATACAATTATCTTCCAAAAATCATTTGACGGCCTTCAGCTGGAATTTTTTGTGCATAAACTAGACTTGATTGAGAAGATATCATAAAAAAAATTCATCAAAAAATTCCACCCAAAAGGAAGCACGACATGAAGTTTTGTCCTTATGTTCACATTTTGAAGTATTTATGTTAACCCAATTGAACTGTTAGTCCGAAGGAAATACAAATTGGGAGGGGAAAATGAAAACTAATAATCCAACCTTTTAGCGGTCTTCTTTTAATAGTCCCACCTTTTCGTTATTCATGAATAATCCAACCTTTGCACCTCATTTTCATTCACTAGTCCCCGACCAGTTGATGACCTGTTATTCCAAGTTATTTTCTTATCTTTGCAAAATATTATCTTTGTAAAAGGTGAAATTTATGGTATAATAGTTTGCAGAGATAAGAAAATAACTCGGAATAGCAGGTCATCAACCGGTCGGGGACCAATGAATAAAGATGAGGTGCAAAGGTTGGATTATTCATGAATAACGAAAAGGTCGGACTATTAAAAGAAGACCGCTAAAAGGTTGGATTATTAATTTCCATTTTCCCAATTGGGAGCCGCTTTTCTTGTTTTTCGATTGAAATGTTTGATTTAATGACAAAGATGTGCTGTAATTAAAAAATGGACTACCGACAAGGGTCCCTCCTCGGGCGACGTGGTCCAATATTATTGGATGCCAATATGCATCACCCCACCAGAAGACTTCAGTCACCCACTCTTACCTTTTCAGGTACACAGCTGCATTCTTTCCATATCAAATGAGTGGCAATGAGCAAGTGGATGGTGGATCCTTACATTGAATGGTTCGTTATGATTCATCTTTAAATTCGGATTTCAAAAATGCCCATAAAGTTTACCCATTTCCCTCAGAGGTATTTGTTCGAAATTTATAATTTCTGTTTTCTTTTTCTTCACCAGATTTTACTCTTTATTTGGTTGTTGGGTCTTGATTCTGTACTAGATTTTCACTTCTGATAATTTGGTTGTTGGACCAATTATAAGTATGTGCTGTACTAGATTTTCACTTCTGAGCTTAGTTCATTGGATTCTCATTCCAGATTTTCTCCAATATTTTAACTGTTTCTTTACTTGATGATAATATGAACAATTCTGAAGCTGTTTTAAGTTTCATAAAGACTTTCTCTAAGAAATCCACGGAAAGAGCCTGTTGCCTGTTGGTTGTTATGGTAATAATTTACTGTTCTGATTCATAGCACACTCCGGGTTTCTTAAGCAGAATCAATAGGAAATTTGAGGTCATTTATGGTTTGCTTTACATTTTACTGATTGCTATGAACCAAAAAACTATGGAATATGTTTTGAGATATGTGGGTTACTGGTTTAATCTTGGAATTCAGAAAACCTATGAAAAACAAGATTATTGACCATTAATCAAATTGTCAATTTTAAAGAGGGTTAATTTTAAGGTCAAAGTATGAGTAATGAGTCTCCATCTTAAAACCAACAATAAGGTGATGACGTTCACCTCCTATACTAAGTTATCCCACACAGTTTAATAACAAGGTATAACTAAGCTCAAACGAGTAATCAGTAGAAGTTAGACTCAAAACCAGGATATGGATCTCAAGAGACAAGGCTAGAGGTTTGGAAGTTCTCAATGATATGATTTGTAGTTGAGTGTTCTAGAATTAACATGTTGCACCTTTGACTGTAATGTCTTTTTGATAACCAATCATATTGAGATCTAACTGGAAGAAGTTGCCTGAATTGAAGCCCGACTAAAGACATGGGCGAGGTAAGAAGCTCAATGGAGATCATAAGTCAAGTGGACATGGACATGGCATATTCTTCTGAGAAACTGGTGAATCTAGGCAGCCTGTTTGTGACTGTGATGACCAAACAAGATGAAGTTGAAGCAATGGCAGTTGAAAATGACGATTCTCCGGATGCTGTTGAGAAAGCTTTGACATTACACCACTTAAGTGCTATTCTCAAGGCGGAGTTTAGACTGTTGGATGATTTTGTGAGTAATCTCCACGGTCTGATTCTTGGTGCGCGCAAAAAGGTCTCTTCCTGTGAGACATTGAGTGAACTGGATACAATGGTGGAGCACAAATTGCAAGATTCCGAAGAATCGTTGGGCCAACTGAAAGAACGTATTCTAAGTATGAAGATTCAGCTAGCCAATCCGTCGCTGATTGGCTCTTTATTTGATCAAGATGACTGTAAGTAATGAGTTGATTCTTAAGGTCACCATTTATTTAATGTTAAGTTTTATGCAGACATTCCCTGCAAGTTTATTTAGCGTATTGCACCAAATTTAGAGACTATGGCCTCGCTCCATATCATTTTATGTTTTCTAATTTTTTCAGGTTTTTGTTGGTAGATTTCTAAGGCAACAAATTTACTATAAATATGATTATTTATTATCTTATTTTACAACATCCATCATATTCCTTTCAAAAACGTAACACAATGTCAAACGGGCCCTACATTTATGTTAAGACCCAGGGTTCCATCCTAAAAGGTCAATCTGATAGGAGGAGTAACCTGGATCTCAATATAGCACTTAATTCCTTCACAAGTATCCGGTGTGGGAATTCAACAATTTATAAAAAACTGGTTTGAGAGTGCATAATATCAAACAATTAGGGGACTGACTGAAAGTACGACTTTCCGTTAACAAAAAAACTAACATGTTTAAAGGATGACAGGGAGACATGACTTGGCTTCAAAGCCACAAGTGCAGATAGCAGAGCAAAAGCGTCTTCTAAAAATGTTGGGGAAGTCTTTTGCAAGAGAGCTAGATCTCGAGATGAAGATGACGTTGATGAAACAAAATGAAGACGATTTTAAGATGAAGCTCAAGTTAAGAGAACACATAGCTTCATGCATGGAAGAAGCGGCAGAGGTAATATGGGGAAGGTTTTTGGAGGCAGACAATATAGGGGAGGTGCTCATGGGCATCTCAAAAGATATGGCAGGTCAACTTCGGATAGCGAATCTCAATCTAAGCGGTTCCCATCAAAGAGAAAATGAGATTCAATTGAAATTTCTAACTTGCATGGAACACTCAAATGCTAAAGATATCACCATTCAAAAGCTCAACGAAAGCATTGCATACCTTAAAGATGAAAACGCTCAAGTAGTGTCCTTACAACAGAATATTGAAAAGCTAAAGCAAAACTTGATGGCATGTGAATCTCAACTAACAAGGGCAAATTCGTCAATTGAAGTGCATATTGAGCAGATTAATGAAATGGAGATTGAAATAGAATCTCTAAAGGAAGAACTCTATCAATTGGAGAGTAGGGCTGAAAGTGCTGAGGCAAAAGTCTCGCAGTTAACAGAGACAAACTTGGAGCAAAGTGAAGAACTGAGTTTCCTCAAAGACAGCAATGATAATAGTGTAAAAAGAGTGAGCATACTTGAAACAGAGATGAGGGAGCTTGACATTCAACTTCAGAATTCTAAAGCATCTTCTGAAGCAAGTCAAGAGCAGCAAAACTTGTTATATTCTGCCATTTGGGATATGGAAACGCTGATTGATGAGTTGAAACAAAAAGTTTCTAAAGCAGAAAACAAGACAGACATTGCAGAGGAGCAATGCATTGCATTGTCAGAACTTAATTCAGAGCTCAACAAAGAAATAGGTATCCTGAGGGTCAGATTGCAAGATATGGAGTCATCTTTGAATCAAGCTAAGGTTGAGAAAATGGCGAGCGTGAAAGACATTAACATTAAGACAAGCTTTATAATGGATTTGGTAACACAACTAACTGTAGAACGAGAACGGGTGCAAAAACAGGTTCTTTTCATGCTTATCACTTCCTTTAATGAACATGTATGCCTCCTTCAGTTTCGTTTCCAGTTCCCAGGAACTTCTTTTACCCGGTTTTTGTGTCAGGAAGGAGTTCAATTCCAAAGTATCAATGTGGTAATAGGAGTAACCCAATATCTTTTAAGTTCGTTGATGATTCTATATTTGGTCCATGTAAGACAAATTATTCAACACTTTGGATTATGAGAGCTCGAGAATTAAGAAATTCCTTAGGATTTCAATTTCTTGAATTGGGCTGGTACGTGTCTGCAATAGGCCACGTGTTTTGAGGGATTCCCAAGCTTTTGGATGAATTCCTTTCACTGCAAAAGTTATTTTAACTATTCTCAATAATTTAATTCATAATAATTCAAATAGATATAAGAACAAAAACTAACATTTAAGAAATTAATATATTTTTCATATCAAGTTGAGCCTTTATGATATAACTGAAGTACCAAGTGTCAAAAGAATATAAGCTTAGATGAGTAATTTGATCCAAGTATCCTAAAAGATGAGCAAAACAAAAATTAGGATTGGTATATCTGTGGGATACTTTATTTGAGTTTCAAACAAACTTTAGAAGCTGACTATATTGATAAACATTTGCAGTTGTGCTGTTTGATAAAGGAAAACAGATTGTTGATGAAGAAGCTAGAGATGGTCAATGTACCTGCATCTGCTACCATTCTAGGGAGCAGAGAAGCTGATAACAAAGAGCATCCACCTTCTACACACCAATTTCCTGGAGATGCTCCATTGAAAGTGCCCATTGAGTCCTCTTTGAGAATCAGTGAGGTATGTTCTTCTACGAGGTGAAATGGATAAATGGTATTATAACGGTTTGTATTAATACATCTTGGCACTCCAATTATTATATAAAGGTTATGAAGCAAATAAGTACCATAATTATATTTAAAATTGTGGCCAATGTTATCCCATTTTGTAATGATTAGCCTAATCATTCCACAAATTTGTGTAAGTAATTAATCTACTGAGTTGATGAGGCCATTACAAGTCAAGTGCAGATCTGGTTAGTTGTGATGACTGGGTTAACTGCATGTTGGATATGAATAAATTGGACCAGCTGGTCCAGTCTGAGTTTAACACTAAATGTGAGTAAATTAATTAATTACAAATAAACTTAAAGAAATGTATGTGGAACACAGGCTACTATAAGTCAGATGATTTTGGCTGGAATTTAAAATAGTGACGGTGCCAATTAAATATACTTATACGTAGTAGTATTTGTTTGCTTCATTAAATAGTATTTATTTTTGGCAAAGATACAGTGGCTTATTCTTAGTTTACTTCACCAGTTTAACTCAAACAAGGTGCAAGATCTACATGAGAAGTCCTCTTACAATGAAACTGGGAATGGGGTGTCATCTTCTTCCACCAATTATCATCATGAGGAATATTCAGTTGTAGAGGAGAAAACTGTTGTTGCCATAGAGGCAAAGCGTGGTCAGAGCAGAAGATACATATGCATTGCGTTACTCATCTCACTGCTCTCAGTAATAGCACCATTTTTATATGGCCGGAAAAAAACTTTGGTTGACTTTGGTAGTTAACTTGTGGTGCCTGAAATGTTTATATGTTGTAACTGGTAAGTATACAATTCAAGCAAATGTTTGTACAGCATAGTATGGGCTAGTTGATTCCACATTCACAAGGTTTGTTTTTAAGGGCTGCAAAAAGAAAATGCAACTACATTTTGTAGCTTTGTACCATTTGAGGACTAGAGATTTGTTGGTTGCAAGCTTGCAGCATGTATTGTGTGAGTATGATCTTCAATGGAAACAGTGTACATGTAATCACTTATTTATTTATTTATTTATTTACTTCTTTGATTGTTTACCACAACTACACGTTGGGTAGTAAAGGTGAGAGTAATTCTTTTGTTAGCCTTAAGGTTAACTGATTTGTGACTGAAGAGTTTTGAATTAGTGATATAAACAGGAGAGAGCCTTGTGCTAGTAAAGTCTAGAAGAGAAGATCTTGACTGCTGTTCAGCTGAGCTTGTTTGCCATTTGGTCATTGTTTCTGTTGGATAGTTACATATATATCTATAATAATGATGATGGTTGTGGTGGTGATAGTGATGAAGATGATGATGATGACATAGTAATAACAGCAAAAATGATAGTGATGAAGAAATTCCCTCCACTAACGGTGCACAATATGGCCGTGCAGAGCTGCACCACATAGGACGTTTTAGCTTGCAACAAAAAATAGAAACCAAGCCGGCTTGGTTTGATTAGATTAATCCTTGCGTTCTCAATAATACAGACAACAGAAAAGAATAGTTCCAAATGAAGAATAAATAGTAAATACAACCTTGAACACCGAGCCACGATATATTACACTCTCACTTGAGCTACCAATGACATAATAATTTTGAGAAATACAATTGGCATATGAGCTTCAAGAAGGAAATAATAATAGCCCAAGATATATTGTACATGCCCTATTATAAATACAGTTGAAATCTTCTCTGTTGTGAGGAGCAGTTTGAGACCCCCCAGTCTTCTTCACAAGTATGAGAGTACTGTCTTCTCTGAGATGAACCAGATCAGGACCACTTGGACTGTTATGCTTGGGCAGCTAACACTTGCATTTGGAGCATTTGTGGAGATCCTTGTGTGTTAAATCAATATGCATCTCTTATTTAAATGGTGTTTATTTCATTTTCTAATACAAGGCACCTATGTTCATTCCAGACATGAAGGAATACCAGTTAACAAAAGTTTAATAATATATTCAAACAGAGGCATCTCTACACCATAAAAATGTTCTTGGTACAAGGGAATTACACGACCAATGAAACTGCTAAGCATATATGTGTAATTTTCAAACCATACATTTAGTTAAAAATATAATATAATGGAATTTCGGTCATTTTGAAAGAGTAGTTCAAAAGTGTTTTACAACATATTACATATATACGTAAAATGGAATTTTCCTTGGAAGTGTTCTTCAAAAACGCATTCTCCTGTCCAGAATGGGAGTTTACAATAACTGAATTTTAGTAGGTCCTATAGTATTTTAACATACATGCATACAACGAACGTGGTTTTCTTCTAAATATTTCTTATATATATTATTACATAGACTGGGCAGGGGGCAGTAGAAGAAACGAATGGAAGAGCACCATCCCATATTTTTCATTCATTGAGTTCAAGAAGCTCTCCTCCCTGATAACTGTATCATCATATTTGCACTTGGATTTTTATTATTTAAAGCAGACAAGTTGTTAACTATTTCTAGCTAAAGTATAGCATGAATATATTCATATTCCAGTTTGTTATTGAGGTAGACTGTAAAACAAATCAAACACTTTTAATAGGATTCAATTAAAGTTGTGAACTACGTAGTATTAATTTTTTACAAGAAAATGGGTAATAGTTTTGGGCAGTGCAAAAAAGATAATATGTAGATAATTAGGTATTGAGGGAGTCATATTTGTAGGCAATGAAATCATGTGATCAAGATTCATTTCAAAATGCTATGTATAACCCATTCTATCTTTCTTATAAATTACTACATCTGTCCCAAAATGATGGTTCTGTATTTCCTATTTGGGTTGTCCCAAAATGATAGTCATGTTTCCTTTTTTGGTAAAGAAATTAAAGTAGATTACCTTTTATACCTCTCCCTTTTAATGAAAAATAAAAGTAAAGGGCTCAACAATACAATGAAGTAAGATTATATGGGTCTTTCTACACTCTTTCTTAATATTTGAGTCCAAAAAGTATATGACCATCAATTTGGGACGGAGGGAGTATAAGAGTAACTTTTTAGACTCTGAGGCTCTGAGCGATAAGAACATGGAAAAACTATCAAATAGGTCCTCGAACTTTCATAAAAAGGTTAAATAAGTCCTTATATAGGAGGCTCTGTCCGGCCGTCGCGATTTGGGGCGGTTCCCGGTGGAATTTTTGATGAAATTTTTTGAGCATCTTATTCATCAAGTCTATTTTACTCATACCAAATTTATGCTAAAACTTCCATCGGGAACGCATTCAAATGAGAAGTTATCTTCAAGAATTGATTTGAATGCATTCCCGATTGAAGTTTTAGCTAAAATTTGATATGAGTAAACTAGATTTGATGAATAAAATGTCAAAAATTTTCATCAAAAAATTCCACCGGAAACCGCCCCAAATCGCGACGGCCGGACAGAGCCTCCTATATAAGGACTTATTTGACTTTTTTATGAAAGTTCGAGAACCTATTTGACAGTTTTCCCTAAGAACATTTTAGGATGGATTTTCTTAAACATTCTTGAAGGAAGCTTAAATGATTCTTTTTCAAATAGGGAAAATTACACTTTTAGTCCCTCAAATAGTACCAATATTGAAATGTAATCCACGTGTTATCAAGATTGTAAATGTCACCCCTCAATTGTCTAAATTGTTAAAATGTGGTACTTCGTGGGGTGAAATGTTCAATGTGGGTAATGACTACATTTACATCAATTCGGACAATTCAGAGACTACATTTACAGACTTGAGGATATGAGGATTATATTTCAAATGTGATTTTCTCTTTTAAATATAACATACATAGTATAATCTGTTAAGCATGAAATTCCCCGTAGCTTACGTTTCTCGTTTAGGAAGCGTGTGGAGAATCCAGAAATTTCAAATTTTCAATTCAGGACCGTTTTTGTAGTTAAGAAGAATTAAGAAACCTTTTTACATTAGGGAAGCTCTCCCGTGCATCATCATTGGGGAATGCACCGGTGCATCGTACATGTGGCAAAATTTCAGTCGAAATATATTCCACGTAAGTCATGTCATTAAGAAATTAAAGAATTGCTCAGCGGACCTTCACCATTAAAAAATACGGAGTACGTACAACCCTATTCACTCCAGCACTCGGCGATTTAAATTGTCGACATTTCATCTTCTCCGAACAAATTCGAGTGAATCAGGAACTAAGGACTTCAAATTAATGTCACCGGAACCAGTTTTTAATTGAGGTCAAGCCTTCATTCAGTTTCAGACGACCACATCCCCTGATGGCAATCCAAGAACGCTGCAAACCTAGGCCAAATCAGCACAGCGACCTTAGGAGAAAGATTATCAACTAATTTGTCCGATCCATCAGCGGTACTTCTCTGACAAAGACTTCACAAATTTTCAACAAGATTTGTTAATTGAAAATCATTTAGATGCAGGCCGGTGCAAGTACAATTTTTCCTACATTGTGCTTATCTTATACAAATACTTGAAAGGGTTAAAGCTAGCTAAGAAAAATCGAATCTTAATGGTTTGACAACACCACTGGAGCTTCTTCAGAAACCGTTCTTTGTGAAGCAGCAAGCTGCTTCATAGAAATTGTTCTCTATGAAGCAGCAAGCTGGCAGAGCTTTGATGTAAGACAAATTCTTGTGTTCTCTCTAGTATTTTCTATTCGGTATTCTTGTAATCTATATATGAAAACTTTACTTTGTGCAGTATTTCCACATTAGTAATGGATTAATTTTGATTCGCTGATAGGTTAATAGTTGAGGATGAGTTGGAATATATAATCACCAAAGACTAAACTGTACTTCATGATCTCTTCATGCTAGCAACATTTCCATTCTATCATTGTATTGTATTAGGTATGAAAATGTTCCATTTTGTCTTTCCTCTAAATATTTGTGTGTTTCTAGTTTTGATACTAATGGTATAGAGCGGAGTTCTCCAAGTTGATAGAAATCGCTAATGCAAGTGACTTAAGTCATATACTCCTTCCCAAACTTCAGGCTTTGAACTATACGTAAATATTTATGGGTGATATTTGTTACTTTGAGCTTCAACAAAGATTTGTAGTAATAACCATATACTTCGTACTTCTTTTCCTTGTCCCATTTTAGTTGTATTATATATGGCCCCATATTGGTGATATTTTCTGAGCTATTAATACATTTTATCTTTCCTTCAACAGGCACGGGAGCTTTGTGCAAAAGGTAAGATTAGTAGCAGTTGTTCTCATAATGCTTGCACAATTCTTTCCCAATCTCTTATTTCACACTGCATTTCTTGGATCCCTCCTTGAAAATTACAATGCACCATTCTGCATTAGTATAATCCGGAATTTGATTTACACTGAGGTTTTGATTTAACAAAATGTTTTCCATCAATATGATCAATAGAAATTGCAACTGCATTTGAAGATATGACAAAAGCGCTTTCAATTTGAAGGTTGCTCACCAGATTGGAACTACCATTAGCACCATAAATGTCTAAACCGCTCAGCGGCTCAATTAATGTCTAACCTAAATGACTAGACCATTAGCATCAGCTTCTTGATATTCCTTTCTCCTTTCTAACAACACGCCAAAAAAATCGATGCACTCCTCTAATTTGCTTAAATTCCCTTCCCACCAACATGTTTTATCCTTCAGAAGAAAGGATCAAGCCCACTGCCACTGATAGTAAAAGGGAAGTCCACAGCATGAAGGCAACGCCACACTAAAAGTCTTATACTTGCTGTAAATACAATTTTTTGTTTCTAATATTTCTATCCATTTTCCCAGTATAGTTTGCTAGAGGCAATCTTTGATTATGTTTTGTTTCTATATTTTTAGAAATTTCACCTTTTCCAAAATGTTCTCAGATAACTATTATAGAATGTGAAACCATGGTTAAATGGTGTCAGTGATTGTTTTTTCACATTTAAAATACTACGTAGTAAGAAAGTTTAATTTGTCCTTTTCCCTTTCATTTTTCTTATTAATTGTATCTCTGACGTGCACTTTGTCGTGATGTGCACTCAAAATAATAATACAATACAACACTTATACATAGTATAACATAGTAAGGTTCGTATCCGCAAGGAAAGGAATACTTCTCTTTTTATAACTAGTACTAGTAATAAGGGGTTTTTTTAGATTTGTTGTTGAAGAACTTTTAAGAATATTTAACACAAAGATGAACGACTTATGTGGTTTAATTAATGAGAAGAAGACTTGGCTTTGCTTTTATCCACTTAATGAAATTTTCGTCGATCCCGGTTATATCTTTAACTATTTTCCTCTCGAATACTCAATCGAAGAGTATATCCAGTTCATCGAGGATAGTTATTAATAACGAGACACGTTCATTAATAAAACTTACTACCGAATTAATATAGAACACGCGCTGTATATTAACCTGATAGTAGCAATAAAATTAAGATGAAAACGATTGAGATTGATAACCTCAACACAAGCGGTTTATTGGTTTAATCAACATAATTAATTCTCCTTGGTTTATTAACCATGAAACGCATGCATTAAGAACCCAAGTTTACTACCGTGAAACAATCGAACGATTAACAAGCGTATTCGTCGATCGATTCTAGTAATAATTAATATATGAAACAAAAC